ATCTGTGAGCCAATAAAATCCAATGCGAAAACTCCCACATCGTTTGCTAAACAAATACGCTCAAAAAACTAAATAGAAGGAGGTGACGATTTGAAAGTGCGATGTAAAAATTTGGCTGAAAGTGCATGAAAATGCGAAGGATTGGTTAAAAGAAGGATTGGTTTGTGTAATTTTTAGGTGACCACTTACAAAGAATATTAATACCATTATTGCAATTTTTTGTATTCCAAAGCTTGCCAATGTTATGGAATTTTCATTGCTACTTGTCATTTTTCTGAACTTCGAGAAATATCTATGGAAATATGCCACATTTAAGCTTGTGAATCTGCGAGAAGGTAGTCTCACGAACGAATCTATTCCAGATTTGAAACCTTCCTTATACATTAACACGTATCCATCCAATAATGGCCATTTTCGTTCTGCTCAATTCACTTTTTTTTCGGCAAATATTTGAACTTCAGCATCTCCAGCTTCCTCTCGTTAGCCGCTTTCGTCCGCCACCTCATTCTTGACAGCTCTCCCATCGAAAGGCCGGCCAGTAATGCGTCGCACCGCTATCATTTTATTTTTGGGCATACTCGCGGTCGAGGTAGCATATATAATTGCAGTCGCTTTATTATTTCTTATATTTTGCTTAACCAGTTCTTATCAAATTCGTTTTTCAAGTTGTTTTTAGCAAGTACTTAGCTGCTTTGAAGCAAGAAATCTTGTAGCCGATCATTTTGACAACCAACAACCAGACATATTAATGTCATTCGTTCCGACTATTTTCAGATTCTACGATTGCAAATGTTTGAATCCTTACACAAACAATCACTTTTGGAAAATTTTTGTTACACAATCGACATCGCTCCTCTAAAGATTAAGAAATCTTTCTTATCAAGCTAAAGAGTCTTTTTATCGGAAATTGTTCTTCATACTCTTCATATTTGTGTGTAGAAAACCGCAATAAAGATTTTATTCGTCATAGAAAAAAACGAAAGAGATACCAAATTTTCTAGTAGATTGACGACCAGCCATACTAATTCTTTGATTTTTTTTTCAAATCTTACTACTCCTCTCAAATATTTCCATTTTATTTTCCACTTAGATTAGGATGTACATTGTAATTGCCCTTAACTCCTAGGCTAGTCCGCTTCGACGTCAATACGGATGCCAACGCCCTCCGTGGTGCTCCCGTTCACCAGCAATTCAAACCCAACGCGGATGCGCTTGTACACCTTGTCGGTTCGTATGTATGGTTGCTTAGAATAATTTACATAATCTTGCCAACGTTGTATTGACCGATTTCTAGATACTTTTCAGCTCTTATTTAACTGAAGAGCTTGACATTTTTATCTGGACCCAGAAGAGAAAATCTGTGTTACGATCAAAGCTGTAAAGTACCTCTTGCTTATCTCCCATGAAATACAATAGAACTAAGCACATAGAGAAACATCAATACGCCGATATCTTTTGAGCGCTTGAAAACCAATGAGTAAAACTTTTCGACGACAAAGTCAAGTGGAAGGTCCTGTTGCCAGCTCAAGTTACTCGCCGTTACGGCACGAATCAAACAAAAAGATGAATGTATTTTTTAAAATTATAAAGCACTGTGATGACTCTATTTCTCACTACATCAAAGATTGACGGTGCATGACGAACTGCCAAAGACAAACTGATCTTGATTCCAGCAGAAGTAGTACTTGAACAAATGCAATGTTCGCGCGATCTAAGCAAACATAGTTCCTCGATACTATGCACTACAAAATGTTCTGCAAATGAGAGAAAACTGGTCCGTGAAATATTTGAATTCGGAGATTTTTTGAAAATAGGTGACCTGTTCTCATGAAGCCCACTACTCCGTCATAAAAATTAACTCCACGATATTGCGACATATATACTTTTCACGGGTTGCTATCCATTTCTTCTTCTGTTTACTTTACAATTCTACTTTGATCGTTATCCTTTCTCCTTTACATGAGTTACCTCATCTACAATTCTACGCAGGTAGCAAATCATTGACATCCGAGATATTCATATTGGAAAAGCCAGCGAAGAAACAGTCAAAAGCACAAGTTCAACGTATTGGTGAATCATCTCTATTATATCTATTCATGTGCCTCAACCCTACTTTGTTATCCAGAATTCTCATGCTTTTACTTCTTTTTCGCAGTGTTATAATTCTTCAAGTATATCTGAGAGAATTGAGTGGTAGGCAAAAATCGGACTTCAGGCGGGAGTTGAACACGTGCTTCACCCATTCGAGGGGTGCGTGCTACCACTACATCACCGAGGCCACAGCATACCCACTGCTCATTGTTCAAGTTCTCTATATGATAGCCATCAACCACCAACCTTTAACAGGCTTGGTGGCGTAGGCAATATCGCTTTATAAACCTGGTTGAAGGTTTCTCCTATCCCTCATTCACCTTACTTTGTATAATTTGAATTAATTTGGAAAAATCAATTCGCAATTAGATCAATTTCAATTAATTCGTATTATGCAATTCGAATGGCTGTCAGAAAAACTGGGTTTGATGCCGATATGTGATTGCTAGACCAAAGCCGTTGTGGGTTGGCTGCTGACAGCTTTGACAGTATATTGAGGATAGAGTGGTAGCAGAGTGGTGACATCGGTTATTTAGTGGTAACACGCTCTCACTGTATGATTTAACGCGGGTTCAGCTCCCGCTTGGTGTCGAATGTACTCAATACTTCTTAGATGTCTATCCCTTGTCTGTCAAACCTACTTTATGACTTGAGAAATATCCAGCCAGTTTTAAGACAGCAGAATAGATCAATCTGAGAATGATCCGCTGTGTTCCAACGATTTTTAGGTCCATGTTAAGTTGGAGGCTGATCCGTCTCTGAGTCCGACATGCAGTGATTCTTGCCGATCTTCGTGCAGTCCAGCCGTATTGCCAGAACAATGTACTGCTATGTGCGAATCCATTTGTGGACAAGCCTCTCTTGAATCAAAAATTCTTCAACCTATAGCTTTTCAACAAAGCGAAGTGACGCCTATGCCGTTCAATAGGATAACAACAACTACGATGGAGAACTTTTACACTGCGGTATCTATGTTCTCGTTTACTTTATGCCATTTTCATAGTGCTCTAGATCTGTTTGTACTGAAACTTCTTTCTACAGCTTTTTTCGAATCCTATAAGCTTGCATTTTTTCCGCTAAATTTTATTATGCATAAGATTTAGCCTGACGCGGAATGACTTCAAAATTTACTCATTCCTGGATGGGAGATCCGAGTTTACTACAAGTGTAAATGATGTAGTGTAATGTAATACTGGTTCACGATTCGGGAATTTTCAATCCTCCAGAGCCTGGAAAGGCCAATTATTATCCGATTTTGTTCAGTAGAGCATTTTGGGCTAAGTTTCTTGTGCTTAGGTATATATATATATGTATATATATATATATATATATATATATATATATATATATATATATTAAACCATCTTCGCTTTGCTGACGATATCGTTCTCATAACACCAAACATCAGCCAAACGGAACGAATGCTGACTGATTTCGATAACGCCTGTGGAAAGATCGGCCTTCAACTGAATCTAACGAAAACAATGTTCATGAGGAACGGATGGGTTTCTAATGCCCCATTCACGCTCAACGGAACGACAATTTCCGAATGCTCCAGTTACATCTATCTAGGTCGTGAAATCAACATGATGAACGACCTAGCCCCAGAGTTGAGCAGGAGGAAACGAGCGGCTTGGGGAACGTTTAAGAGCATCGAAGACGTAGTGAAGAGGACAAAGAACATCCGACTCTGTGCCCACCTTTTCGACTAGACGATTATCCCTGCCCTAACGTATGCAGCAGAAACTTGGTCGCTACGTAAGCAGGATGAAAGATCACTTGGAGTTATCGAACGCGCAGTCGAAAGGTCGATGCTAGGAATATCCCGTATTTCGCAAATGAGAGAAAGGATCCGAAGTTCCGACTTACGTCAACGATCGAAAATCAGAGACGCCGTTCTACACGCCAGGATGTCGAAAATAAGGTGGGCCGGACACGTGATGCGCTTCAGCGATAACCGATGGACGAGAGCCGTTACCGACTGGATTCCTCGGGACGTCAAGCGCTCTAAAGGAAGACCACTGACCCGTTAGTCCGATTTCTTCACGAAAGCGATGGAAGAAAGATATGATGCTCAGCGAATTCCTAGAGCGAGGAGGACCCACTGGGCTACTCTTGCACGCGATAGGGAAAAATGGAAGAGTTGCTGGTACCCGCTCGAGTCACTCGACGATCAACGGGACGACAGGTGATACAGGTGATATATATATATATATATATATGTATATATATATATCTGTGCACACATATGTAGATATTTTTCAGTATATACATGCATATTTATATGTATGTATAAAAAATGACTCAAATGAAGCGAGCTTTTGATTTATTGAGCAATGTATGACTGAAGTTACCAAAAGCTTCCACGGTGGATATAACAATCTTAAAATAATTTTTACAGATACCACCATGCTACCTAAACTCTTGGGCAGCCCCCATTCCACTGGCAACTTAATCACCATCACCTCAATGTTTAAATCAATGTGATTCTAGCTGTCAACAAAGTTGTCTTAAACGAAATCCTCGTCCTCAAGATGTATGTAATACAAGCTGTGCTAACACATACAATTATGTGAGGTTTCAAGAGCTTAATGACTGAACATTTCAGCTTACGAACTATGGAGAACTAAAGTAAATACATAGTTCATTCATATCAAACATACTTGCTGAGCTTTCTGAGCTTGTCGGTTAGAAATGTTTGACATCGTATTGTTCTACCTATAATCTGCTTTTTTTCCATGATTGTTTGACTATTGCTTGAAAAAAGCCCTATCCGTACCAAAGAGGGCCGTGAGGGCTTGACGCAAACGATCTAATTACCACGTATTTGTTTTTTGCCCATCAGTAAAAAGTGAGTATACCAGTGGGTATATTATGACCACGTGTTTATTGCAGAGCACTTCTAATCTCTGCATTACGCGCTACCCTCTTTATATAGATATGAGACCGAAATGTAGCAGTATAATTTAACGGTTTCACCAACGTAACAAATTTACGGGTACACTCTGCTCCTATCTTATTACGATGAAATGATCCGGAAGGTTGCAAGGACACGTAGGATTTACCAGCGAGGTTGCTCAGTATTTGTAAAGATTTCTGCTCCATAATTGAAAATTTTTGATCATTGATACCGGCCGATCAGTAATTACCTCTAGGGCATCTGTGTTATGTTCTTAATTGTCTTTGTTTGAAGAATAGTTCAGTGATATTTTCGAAGGCACTATGTCCGAAACTACTTCAAATTACTATATTTCTTCTAAAAAGTATTCACTCTGATTGATTTCAGTTAGTGTAGTAGCAATAATAGGTTATTTTGTGTTTGACGACACGCAATCAAGAAACGACTGCTTTCACTGGGCAAAGATTTTCCGTTGAACTTGTGATAAACATTAGAAAGCCGAATCTTTGGCTACTGCGCCACTTAAATGCTTTTGAAAAAGCCTTTTCATAACACCACATAAAAATATAACATTTGTGTTTCAAACGAGTATTTCTCGTGCAACAGAGCTCTTCCTTCAGATATTAGTAACCATACAATAGCATAACTTTCCACGATTCCAGTGCTGCGCTTGTTTTCTGGAAAGGCCATTCTATTGCACAGTAGAAGGGAAAATGCGATCGAGTTTCATGTACGTGGGCATTTGTTTGTCGCTAGTGTGTGGGCTTTGTACCTGCCAGCCGTGGATTCGACCGATCGACCGATCGCGTTGGCGCCACCCACATGTGGAATACATCTTTTGTTTCTAAATTTGGGATCCTTTCTCCGTTTTGAAAATATTACCAGATAAAACCAATGACTCTGATACTACAAAATTTTCTTTACACGTTCATATGCTTTTCGTGCTTCCAGCGAAGTAGCAATAAAAGTGCGCGGCCGGTGTAAAACTTAATTTTATTTTCAATATGCAGCGTCATAAAAGGGTTTTGCAAAAAACGGCCACAGAGCGCAATAGCCAGAGATTTATGCCTTCGAATGATCACTAACACTCTAATCAAACTTCCTTGTCCCTCAAGAGTGGTCGTTTCTCCATTCCATGCCATCTAACGGTAAGGAAGCTGTAGTAATAATAATAATAGCATTAATAAAAATCTTTAACTGCTTCCTAACACTGCAGATCTGTACATCTCCACTTTCCCAAATGGCTGCCATGGATGTGTCTATCTATCCTGTGCGACTTGATCCGAGAGAAAGGTTCGTAACTAGGTTACCATATTCAGATGAATATTTTTGAACAAATCTTATTCTGTGGTTTTCTTGTTCAGCAAACACGAGGCTACTGAAATATGTTAAGTTTGTATAATATAGTGCAATAGAAGTCATCAATGGCTAGCGTTTTTTACGTCTTCTGCATAGTCTGAAAGACCCAATGTAAAGTGCGATCCACGTAATCAAGCACTTTGATAACCAGAGAAGATGAAACCTAAAGGAAAAGGGGAAAGTTAAATAGTATTGTAATCAGCTTCTATCGAATCCTGTTAATTACTAATACTGCGTGGCTAGTAGACTACAAAGCAACAATATGCGGTGAGTATTCGAAAGAAGCTGTATAGTATGTGATCTCTTTCACGTTTTCCTTTAGGTTTCATCTTCCTTGGTTATGAAAGTGCTTAACTGTGTAAAATGCTCGTCAACTTGGCTTTTCCAAGCTCTGATGAAGGCGAAAACGTCGAAACGTTGGCTATTGATACGATCTCCGCTGTACTATATTGTACAAAATAAACGTATTTTAACAACCTCGCGTTTGCCGAATACGAAATACAATTATTTAATCACTGCCGGGATTCGTCGGTCCATAGTCGGTCTTGGGAATCTTAATCTACAATGTAGGTGCTCATCTGAATGTCAATCCATCTGCCAAATGGTATGCAGAACTCAGCTTTCAGCGAAAAAATGTTCCGACTCCTGCGCACCTCACTGCGACAAAGCTTGTGAATCGCATCAGGTATTTCTATGAAATATACCCCGTAAAATTTGGGATAACCTTAAGATGCAGACTAATTTATTAAAACCACTTATAAATGACAAGGATTTCACTCACAAATGTTTGCATGACGAAATTTTGATATGAAGGGCTCGAAGAGTGATATGGTTGTTCCTCTAGCAATATATGTACTCCGGAACTACAGCAATGAGCTATCTGCAGGAATAAACTGACATGTGTTCACGTGTAAAGCAATAATGATCTG